TACATTTAGTAAAAATTTCTAATGTATTTGGGTCTTCTTCATCTAAATTTACATTTGTAAAGTTTGCTACATTTTCATGTTTTTCGTTAAATAATTTTTCGTCAATTTCTAAGAAATCTTTAACTGTGAACTCATTGTTTTGTGAAAAGAAGTTCTGAAAGTCTGTGTATGTTTCTAATTTGTCATCGGTATTTAGTGTGTTTATTACTACTCGTGAAAGGCAATCTGCATTTGAATTTACTCTTCCTGGTTTGTGGATGATTTCGTAATCAAATTCTTCTAACTGTAATCTCCATCTTACAAGTTTACTACCTGGATCCTTTACATTAAATAACCAGGTAAGTGGTCTATGGTCAGTTACTATTTTGAAATGTCTGCCATATAGATATGGGCGGAAGTGTTGTATTGCCCACTTTATGGCTAGAAGTTCTTTTTCAGTTGTGTTGTAATTACCTTCTGCACTATTAAGTGTGCGTGATGCGTATGCTATTGGGAGATCTTTACCTATTTCTCCTTGACTCAAAACTGCGCCTATTGCAAAATTACTTGCGTCAGTTGTTAATATAAATTCCTTACTAAAGTCGGGGTATTTTAAAATTGAAGGAGATATTAAAATATTTCTTAATTTATCAAATGTTTCTTGTTGTTCTTCTTTCCAAATAAAAGGTATGTCTTTCTTTAATAACTTAGTTAACGGTTTAGTTAATTGTGAAAAATTTTCTATAAATTTCCTATAGTATCCTATAAGTCCTAAAAATGATTTGATATCTTTTTGATTCTTTGGTATGGGAAATTGACTAATAACTTTTGTTTTTTCTGGGTCTGGGGAAACGCCTTTATTTGATATGACGTGACCAAGATACGCAACTTCGTGTCGCATGAATTCACATTTGTCAGGTTGTAGTTTGAGGTTATGCTCTCTTAACTTCTTAAGAACGGATTCTAATTTAGATTCATGATCCTGGAGAGAATTTGCGTATATTACGATGTCATCTAAATAAACAAAGCAATATAGTCCTTGGAGTCCGCTTAAGACATTATTCATTAATCTCTGGAAAGTAGCTGGGGCATTTTTTAAACCGAAGGGCATACGAGTATATTCGTATAAGCCGGTTGGGGTTGAGAATGCTGTTTTTGGAATATCTCGGGGATTCATTTTTATTTGGTGAAAACCACTAGCTAAATCTAGGGTGGTAAAATATTTGGAGTGACCTAGTTGGTCTAATATATCAGTTCTATTTGGAAGAGGATAGGCATCGCCTACAGTGACATCATTGAGTTTCCTATAGTCTATTACGACTCTCCATTTGATCTTTCCTGAAGCGTCCTTTTTCTTAGGGACTACCCATAAGGGTGAAGACCAGGGGCTGGTAGACGGGCGTATTATACCGTCTTTCAACATTTTAGATATTTGAGTATTAACTTCTTTTTTATGAATTTCAGGGTAACGATATGTTTTAGTATGGATAGGGCCCTGTTGGGGATCTGTATTTATCTCATGTAAGATTGTATTAGTTGACGTGAGTAAGTCTCCGTCAAGATAGAAAATGTCGTTATATTTTCCACAGATTTTAAGTAATGATGATTTCTCTTCTGAATTAAGGTGAGAAGTACGAAGTTCGTTACGCAATCTTTCAATTCTTGGTAATTCATGAGTTGAATAATTATTCTTTCTATTTTCAACATTATAAGTATTTATTATGGAGGAATTATCATCTCCCAATGGTTCCAATTTTAAATTCATCCTATTCACTTTGATTTGATTGTTAGTACAATTTAGTATAGATACAAAAGCTTTATTATCATCACCTACTCGGGTGATACAACTAGATAAATAAACACCTTCTAGTAGTTTTTTATTTTCAACAAAACCTTCCCTTATTTCGGGGTTTAAAACACATGCTTTCACAAGAGTTTCTGTCCTAGGTTCTAGGGTGAGAAGTACATCTTGTTTTATTTTATTAACATTATTATCAATTTTTCCACAAGTCCTATTTGGACAATTATTACTATATTTTCTTTCAAAAGGAATGCTTAAGCCATTCAAAGATATAATTTTATTTCTATAGTCAATTTTAGCATTATTCTTCATCAAAAAGTCATCTCCTAATATACCATCGTATTTTAAAGTGGGGACTCGCTTTTGGTCCACTAAATGAAAGTAATGATTTATTTTATTATTATTATTTATATTTAAATTTATCTTGACAAATCCCATGGTTTTACATGGTTCTTTCGATTCGGTTATACCATGAATATCTAATCTTCTATTAACATTGACTGGCAATCGTGGGTGTAGTTTTTCACCTTTTATAATTGATATACTGGCACCGGTATCAATTAAAAATCTTAATGGTCTATTATAGTCATATGTTTCGTCTATCGGTAACTGGATGTTAATCATATTAATAAATTGAGTAGATAAAATTATTGAATGTTGTTTTGTGCCTGAATATCTTCCAAGCTCATAGGATCGGCACTCTCCATGAGCTCGTTTTCGTTTAAATGATCGATCTCCATTGTATTAAGGTCAATTGTATTTCTGCGAGAGAAGCTACGAGTGTGATAAGGCTCGCGCGTTGGTCGCTGTTGTTGATGACGATTAAAGTTTTGATTTACAGTTTGATTGTTTCTTTGCTCAACGCTAGGTCTCCTTAATGGATAAGGGTTTCTTTGAAAATTGTTATTGGTTTGATTTCGATCATTATAGTTTGTTTGATTGTTATATAGAAATCGGACGGGGTAATGTATATCGCGATGGTCATATTGTTTATTACAGCATCTACAATAAGATGTTTCGTTCATGTGGAACAAAGGTCTATTATTTGGATTCCGATTAAAATTATTACGATTTGAAAGATTATTATTAACATTAAATGTACGCGGATTTGTGTTTCTACTGGTATTACTTCTACAAAATGCTGCTGTATGTCCAGCTCGATTACACTTTGTGCAGTACCTACGCGGTTGCTCAAATGATTTGCTAGACTCGAGTAATGAAAATTTTTCTTCCTCTAGGGCTATGTTAAAAGCGTCACTTAGATCCTTAGGTTCACGAGACCTGAGGACTTGTGAGATTTTCGGGTTTACCCCTAATAGAAATGTATGTAGTGCTAACTGATTTGTACTATCTATCTGTCCTGGCAGTAAATTTCTATCAGTACTTGTCTGTTTAATCGTACTAAGTAGTCTCTTAAGACATCCTTCTAAGCGAGTGATGTATTGAGCTACTGTTTCGTTGTGAAACTGTTTGCAATTTTGAAGTTCTATTAACAAATGCGTTTGGTGTTTTCGGTTCCCGAATCTGGACTTCAAAAAGTCTTTAAGATCTTTCCATGAGTCGAAAACGGTATTGGAACATGTAGATTGAGCTTTATCAATTAATTTATTTTGCACGTATGCGAACAATACTCTTTCTTGGCTATCGGATGCTAATTGGAAAGCTCGGTCACACTTTTCTAACCAAGAGCTTAGGTTGTCACGATCTCCATCATAAGGTTCTATAAACCTCAGAAGTGTATCAATTGACATTATGGAAATTGGGTTGGAATTCCCAGCAACGTCTTGGGATACGTTGGGTATAGAAGTTGAATGTGCCATGTTTTACCAAAAAAAAAAAATTTTTTAAAAGAACTAAATTGATTTAAAATGAAGTTAAAAAAATATGCTTTAAAAGAACAATTGCGACCTTTACTTTTTACGACCTTTTACAATATTAATTTAAAATAAAATTATATATGAATTATAATATAGTTTTTAAATTTTTTTAAAAAAAATGACAATTAACTACTTAAATTCTACTTACAATATTAAAATCTTCATAGTTCACTCGAAGTGACGTTTTTTGTTTCTTGAAGATGTTCTATTGTTGAAGAACTCTTGATTGAGTTTTTGCTTCGGTATGATTGCTGGTGTTGCTGACGTCTATTGCTCCGTTGAATACCTTTCTCTGGGTCTGCCTTGTCGTCGTCGTCGCCGTCGAGGGCCAAAACCGTCACGATCAAGTGCTGACGATTACCACTGACGTGGTATGCCGTTGGGTATCTTTATATGTGTGGATCCGTTTTCAAGCCAAGGTCTGGAGACCGCCTTGCTTTATTCTTCTCGAATTGTCAGGTATTTTAGAGAAGAGCAAGTGCCACGGATCCCACTTCTGACACCAAATTTTGTTATGTACCCTTTGGCTGGAGTCTTCGTGAAGTAAAACCAGTTGATGCTTCTAAGTATTTATTTAATTACTGCTATGCCGATCTGGCTTACACTCAGACTAATTTAGAGAGGAGGTGTTATATGAAGACGAATAGCGTCGCGAACCGGTAGATGAGTCTTGATGAGTGCCTGAGGCGAGTATCTGATGTAGACTGACTTGGTCCCGAGGGATTTGGGGCTTTTATAGGAAGGTGTAAACAAGTGCTCACGTGTTGCCGAATTGCGAATGTTCCGTGAAAGAATAAGGTGATATCGAGTCACCGTAGATTATCTGAAGTTCTAATGGTTTCTAATGAGAAGCGATAATGAGCTTTAATGATCGGTGTCAAGTAATCAACTATTTTATGGTGGCAATTTGGGTGGCCATGTCATACGCAATATGATGGAGGACAAAGGGTCTCATATTTAATTTAGAGGAAAACATCATGTGATCGTAAGGATCGTATGATGGTGGCGTGATGCGCAAATGATGATGCAATAAGTGGAGGAATATGCAAGTAATAGTTATGGTATATAACAGGATGTAGGAAATCATTACTCACCATCCTCAAGAGATGGCGTTACCTGCACTGCGATTAATATTAGAATGGAAGCCTACATCGCGCAAATGAAATTCGGAGGCTAACTCTTCATATATACGATGCCCTACCAACATCAGTTGGGCCACGGCCCCCGAGCTAACATCACCCAGCTCGGAGGAAGATCTTCCCCTTTGGCCTTCCTACAAGAAGTTCTACAAAATGGGAGATTGATATACTCACACTGCCGTCGAAGTCGAACTTGGCTATGACCAACTCCAGGACTTGGTGAGGCTGGGCGGGCGGTGGTGCTGCAGCTCTGGCCCTCGCCTGTGGCAACGGACGCACTAGCGGCGTAGTGTCCAAATAGTGTAGCCGGTAGAAGGAGAGCAGTGACGCCATGTCAGCGAACAGTTGGTCGCCGATTCGGTACCGGACACCGCCCTCCGAGGAAACCACGCGGTTTATTATGTAGTGGGACACGCGGCCGTCTTCCCTGTAGGAGACAGGGATAGTGTAGTCTTCTGTTTACAACTAATATGTTAAATGGAAACGTAACTTTATTTATCTGTCGAAATCTAAAGAAAAGTTTACTAGAAAAAAAAACACGCGGACCAGGCTTCGGACGGGACCCGGTCCGCGTGGTTTTTTTTCTAGTAAACTCTAGATTTATACATCTAGCAGTTAAATGCTTAAAAATAAATGAAAACATAATTATCTGTCGAATTTTGATGCCAAGATGATTTCAATGAATTTTGGTATGGACATAAAGGGGACCTTGGAGAATAGCATCATTCTGTAGAGTAAAAGAGACTTGTACAAGGTGAAATAGGATAAAGCTGTTTATAACATAGGAATCAAAATCATTGCCCGGGTATAAGCCTGTTAAATATAAATTTATGTACTTGATTAGGGTTTGTAATCTAATGGGCGAATAGGAAGCCTCTAAGCTTTCGTAGTTCGTGCGTCCGTCTGACAGTCAGTTTCAGCAGGGTGGACCATAATACATATTTATAAGCTATGTCATCGGCACGTAAAAATACAACGCCCCTTTAAGTACAGACTAGTAGAATATAAAATGACTTTTTATTAAACAAGAACAAGAAATCAACATGACAACTTCTCATCACCCAAAATGTCCCCAAGATGAATGGTCGACCAATTCAATAAAAGAACAAACGTTATAGGACAGTAGCTCACCTGACGCATAAAACGTAGTCACCCTGTATCGTCTTGGAGTCTCGGACTAGGAACACACCACTCTCCGACTCGTTGAGAAGCAACCGGGTCGCTTCGGCCCGCGACAGCTCGCGGAAGTACCAACTGCAAAACGGACACAGTTCTAAATAAATTATATGTTGATTTATAAAACATTATACTATCTAGGAATTAAAGGGTAATAAAAAAATATGGTTTATTATTTACTGTGCCGCTTCAGCCATCTGGGTCATATATATGTGCTACTAGCGGCCGCCCGCGACTTTGTACGCGTAGAGTTAGTTAGAAATAAAGGTTCACTGCTCATTCCCCGTAGGTGATAGCGTGATAATATGTAGCCTATATGTTGATCCGACTTCTTAATAATATTCGTACCAAATTTGAAGTAAGTCCATCCAGTACTTTTTGAGTTTATCCCGGTCATACAAACAGACAAAAATTCTAAAAACTATATTTTTGGCTTCGGTATCGATTGTAGATTACACCCCAAGCATTCTTTAAAAAAATATTCAATGTAGAGTTTTGACTTTCCTACCATTTTATTACATGTATAGATGACATAAATTGTAATAATAGAAATAAATATGAAGGTAACATAATTAGTGATGCATCTTACACCGACATATCGGCGATACTTCAGGTTTGCCGATATATCTGCATCGGGGATATCTTCATGGCCCATTCAACGATGCTTTTTGAATTTCGCGCTTTAAAAAAGTAATGTAAAAACGCTGGTTGTCTCGTCTATTTCATTGTGAACGAGGCACTAACTATGCTCGGAAAACCCTACGCTTTTCAGTGTCTCGATTCACCTGCTCGCTTTAGACTTTCTAAACTATGTCATTTCGTTAGGTTGGCTATTGCTTAATTTTTACACGTTTTGCTTTGTAGTAAATGAAAAAGTCCGGACATTAGGAAACTTCATTTATAAACATACACAATAGGGCTTGTAGAATATTTTGAAAACTGAAAGCAATCAATGTTTGGAGTTTAGAGCAACACTGAAATAAACTAAGACTTCAAAATAATCCAACAGTAAATATATCACAAAGATATGGTACTAGCAGTTGTCTAGTCTTGTCATGGTCATTGCAAAATAGAAAATTTCCTGTAATGCTTTTTGCTTAACTTTTCTCAATTAAGTGGATTAAGTAAACTTGGTCAGCATTACAATTTGCAATGTACGGTTTTATTGTGAAATCTACCAATCATGTTTATATTTTAACACCTAATTTATGGCAGAAGCTAAAAAAAATATAATTAAAGATTAAGAAGTGAATTCTTCATAGAAAATTTACCCATAAAAATATATAGGTATCTTATTTTTATATCTAGGTATTTACATATAAATGTAAGTTTTCATGAAAAAATAAAAGAAAAACATTTATAGTTATATATTTGGGTAACTCAGTAAACATAATGAAACACTCAATGGTGCGGCTGCTAGCACTTTGATTAATAAGATAGGAGACCAAAAATTTATTATCTCTTGCTCCTATCTACTTGGATGGAATATTAATGTCACTTATCCTTAATATATATAGAAATAGGGTATTTTTCAAGCTTTAGAAAATCAATCTCACATTATTACTACTAATGTTTATGGAGACCATAAAAAGGACATGAACATTTTTAATTCTGTCATGTTATTCAGTAAAAAAACAATCAAAAAAGCAATTCAAGTTGATGTAAAACATTTCTCTGGACATTGTCTCACGTCACAGGATTCTCATTAAAATGTCAGACTATACAATGTAATGCCAATCCCAGGCATTTTCAGACACACAACCATGGAGCAAAATGATAATTTCTATTTAATGATTGTTTAGAAAAGTAACTAATCATTTGTTCTTTCAGAACAGTAGAATTGCTGCTAATATTCATATCAAATACAGATGCCAACAATAGCCTACTAATATCCCATCCACTTTTCCTTAAAAATTTCTAGATATAATAAATAGAAATTTTCCTGAATCAAGACATTAAGTAGCTATTGGTTTTGATTCAGGCATGAATCTCTAAACTTAAAACTGAATTTAACTTTAGCCTCTCCTTTTCATTCTGTATAGGAGTGACAAGGATATACTGTTATCAAATTTATATTAAGGTTTAGAGAAAGAATCATGCCAGAATCGCCACCATTGTCTCTACTCCATCCACAGAGAAGGCCTGTGCCTCGGCAGTGAGAGGATTAATAGGCTGATGATGATAATGAAGTATTCATGAAAGCAAGTTTAAAGTAAACAGTATTTAATTTAGTGAAAGTAATCATTGCAAGAGGCAGTGTTTACATGGAAACATTGAGACAGGCAGTGAAATAACACGGAGAGCATGTTTGTTATGATTTGTGTGTATTAATAGAACAGAAGAACTGTACAGTGTACTTCAGTACATTAAGACTTCTACTTTGGAAAAATAAATAGAATAAAATAGATAAACGATTGTAAACATACAGAGAAATAATCTTTTCCAATAATAAAAGACCTAACACTTCCATTAATAGAGAACTGTGCGATTTCTTATATCTAATATATAAAATTCTCGTGTTGCGGTGTTCGTGGTTAAACTCCTCTGAAACGCCTTCCCGATTCTCATGAAATTTTGTGTGCATATTAGGTAGGTCTGAGAATCGGACAACATCTATTTTTTTCCCCCTAAATGTTAAGGGTAATTAACCCCTAATTTTTTTTTTCAATTTTAGATAATTTTTTTATGATACATCATATAAAAATACATACAACCCTAAATTTTCACCTTTTTACCACCAACCCCTATTTTTTTAGGCCGGTACGAAGTTCGCTGGGACAGCTAGTACTTTAATACAAATAATAACAAAAGTAATTAACAAAGAAGAAAATAAAATTTATTGACTGCTCATTCCATAAACAACAGACTTAATTAAAATAGGGAACAAATGATGCAAACTCATAACAAGCAGAAAGGTATTCATAGCATGTTAGTCTTGGCGGTTAAATTTGGTTTTATGTGGTGTTATTCTTAGATATTAAACTGCGCTGAAAAGCAGGGCAGTCATTAAACCTCTACAACTAGTTTATTGTCATATACAATTTTAAGACAGCTGTGAACATAAGTAATAGTTTAAAAATATGATCGAATTGATATAATGTTTCAAGGAAACACATAATTCTGATTATTTAATTTTAAAAGAATAGTTTTAGCAAGCAATTCTTCCTTTTTACATTGAGTAATTCTCTTCTTGTCCTTGTGTGATAAATAACACACTTTCTTCTACCAAAATAACTAGTAGCTAACTTAACATATCTTCATTCTATTTAGACTGCTGAAAATAATTCTACTTTAAAATTATGTGAATAAAGCTCAACTTATGCATTTTAACATTATTTGTGGCATATGTTTATGATAGTTTAGATAAGAGTTCTCCTGGTCCTAACATCAGAAACCTCTATCTTAATATAATTGTTAATTATGGGGATATTTCTCTGGTAAGTTTAGAGTAATTTTATACCTGCTCATGTCATTAGGGTCGAACGCGACCCCTACTCCAGGGTTGGCCATACCGGAGCCTGTTGTCAGTAGAACGCCTAGTCAATAGTTCATCGGTGGGACATCACAGCCGGAAATGACTGCCTATTTCATTATTACAACCGGCACTTGCTACAAAAATTTGTATAGGTGCGATTACAATGACGCCGGATATTAACTTCACCACTTCTTTAGTTCCTTCACTGCAGTTCCACGTTTTCAATTCGAGTTAATTACAATTTGTTGACATGTATATTCTAGGTGTCATCAATGATCACCATTGATGTTCACATCAAAACACATGTTTCCGCATTCACAGACACTTGAATTGGCGTCAGTTTCACACGCACTCTCTACCTACTGTCTTTTGGATATATAAAGAAATGATAAATCTATAATTAAAACAGAATTAAAAATAATTCATCAAAATCACACGCGAAGATAAGCTGATGATGACGCATAGACAAAAGCATTTTTTTTCTTTTTGTCCACAGACTAGATTAAAGATAGGTATCTTTTTGACGCATTTACCTCCGAAACTTGGTTGTCTATGAATTTCAGTTGCGGACTTCCTACGCTGATTACATTAGCAAATAATGTCATTTATTTATTTTTGCTAGCAACACTGCTCCATTACACATCACCTTCGAAATTTTAGTCTATGGCTTGTGTCCATTGTTTTTCTACAATGTTATTTTTCTGACTGTTGCTGGTAGACGAAAAATTTGGTCTCGCTGCGTCGTGTGTGACTGTAGTGCTAGTGTTCGTGCTCGATATTGTGATTTATTGGAAATAGATCACGAAGATGTCGTCACCGAGCGCTGGGAAACGTCGAATGGACACAGATGTCATCAAACTGTATCCTTTCTTTGTTATCGTCACATTACAAAGAAGCTATTGCGTTAGAGGGCCACCATGTAAATAAGTAGCCAAAGGGCCATCAGCTGATTGTCATGAACCTTTGTAAAATCGATATGCTAGGTCTATACATAGGGTTTTCTTAAGTTTCTTGGACTGTCTCATGCCTAAAATTATTTGAACGAGTTATTCTTTTCATGATAAGTTTACAAGTATTTATCTGCGTATTGAGTGTGGGCATTCTTTGTGTAGCCCCTTTGGGCTGACGTATCTATATATATCGCAAGATAAACACCTACAACATATTCACGCACTGAGCTCTTCCGTATCTACGAGATTGTATTATTTCGTAATTTGTATGTAGGCCATGGACTAAATTGCGTATTTTTTCTATGTGTGTAACTACCGTAGCCTCGGATTGATTTCATTATCCTCTATTATATCATGCATAATTAATGATAATTGCAGCTTAACTGGCCATCCATTGTATTATGTTAATTCAACAGTTGTAAAGCTTAGCAACAAGGATCTTTTTTTTTGAGAATAAAAAAAACGAAATACTTGTTAACTATAACGTAATATAATATGCTAATCTTTCAGAACAATGTTTTAGTTAAGGTATCTGTTTGCACCAAATTATTGATATTTTATCACTGAAAGGTCACACTGAAGTTCATTGTTCTGTTGATATTTTGCCAAACACAAGAGTAACCTCTAAATAAAAATAGAATAACCACCATAAGGTAGGTATATTAAAAAGGTTTTCTTTATCTGAACAATAATTCATAATTTACTCTGTCAATAATTACAATAACATTATTTTCAAAATTTATTGCAAATCAAATGTTGTTAGGTTTATAATGCAAATAAAATTTTCTCCATTGGAAAACAATGGAGAAAATATTATTTATTAAATGAATATATGTATCCAACTAATTTTATATTTACATTTTTTATTTAGTTGGTACTACTATAGTCTTAATAAATAATTCTACATACATACAGCTATTCATATACACTTTGATGTGGTATTAGTTATGGTGCACAATTAATGTAAGAGATTTTTAACACAAACTAGCTGACAAACTTAAATCTCCCTTTTACAGTGTCATAAAGTTCATTTTCCCAATAACAAACTACCCTATTTAGTTTGTAAAGATACCCTTTGTCTTTATAGCAAGCAACATTAAAATCAGTTCAGCCTAACTTGTCTCATATTTGGGTGCTTGGGGTGCAGTAGTTTTAGTTTACACAAGCACTATTTATTAAAATCTCTTCTCTCATTCTGCATTAATATTAAAATACATTTAAATAATAATATAATTTATTTGCCAAAATACAGTTCATAGGTTGGTACATTTTATAGAAGTAAGTACATGTATTCTACCTGCAGGCAGTTGTGCAAATATTGCAGTCAGCTATTTTGTCATCTGTCATATATTCCTTAATACTATAATAACATTTTTTTTGGAACCATTTTGTCAACTTCTCTTAAACATTGTTCCAGTTACTTATTTTATATTGTCGGGTAATTTATTATATATACATATTAAAATGTTGTAGGCATTAACTTTATAAATTTACGCGTGGCAAGGAGGCTGATATAATAAGTTTCTATATTGACATATTGTGTGTCTATTGCTCATTTCTATGCGCTTCTCGAAATACTTGATGTGATTCCTGACAAAGAAACATGCTTCCTTTATGCACATGCAGGGCAATGGAAGTATTTAATTTCTTTTAAATAGGGGTCTAAAAACAACAGGTGCTTTATAATAATTGTGGATGCTATCTTAGTTCTTATTATGGACATTCTTAAATATTAGAGGGATTCTTGTTTGTCTTCTTTAGTAATATGATAATAATAACAAAGGACATGGTAAAGTTTTGTTTGAGGGACTGCCCTAGCAATGTATAAATATTGTATTTAGTAATATTTAATGCTGAATGGCTGAAAGTTTATAATTTGTATGAAAAAGTGTTCAGGAACTTCTGATAAGGTTACAATACTGAAATAATGCTAATGAACCTTGCTACAGTTGATAAAAGATATTGCCAATTATTTACAGAGCCATATTTCCCATTTTCTCAAATTCTTTTATCCAATTTCTCTGATTAACACTTTAAAAAAGATAAAAGTTAACAGTTTAAAAAAGTGTTTTAAAGCAAAAAAAATTACAAATGATTTGTTGTTCTTGGCCTGACAGGAAATCTATAAAGTTTTATTTTGTTCATTTGCAAAAATCGAAGAATTAATTTAATTACAGCCTCGTCTTAAGACTGATCAGAACCATCAAATCTATTATTTTAAGCTTTCAGTGATTTGTTATATAACATAGAATTAATTTTGTTTATTTCGACATACCTACATACATGAATAATCTTAGTGTAGATTTTTTGTTCATTTATTCTTGTAAAACGGAACATTTTCCTTTTGGAACAGACATGAAGTAAATTTTTATACTTATAAATATTTAATTATTTTACGAAAGTTTTATGAGAATGATAAACATGTAATAATTAATAAACCAATATTTTAGGTTAGTGCGAAATAATTATACATGTTAAGGGCAGTTTCTTACTCGTTCCATGTCCTTTATATCTTATTGTATCCAGCCAGGAGTGCCACTCTGGGGCCGTATGCTCCACATTGTAGAAGACTACAGTAAAATGACATTAACTTTCACTGAAGGGTACCACAGGATAGGGGATTGCCTTTCAGCTGGCAAGGTGAGAATGACTGGAGTAGCAATTTTCCTCAGCCATATCACCTATCTCTTGTCTCCACCTAAATTTAACAGGGTTGTGGGTATTTGCTTTGCGGGAGAAGCTCCATATGTAACAGTTCATAATTTTTACCAATTTTTTTGCTATCTGAAATCCTTATCGCATAACTAGGTCAATTTAATTTTATCACAGTTCTATAATAACCATGAATGAAAGTAACCTTTATTTATATATGGATTAAGGTATATGTTGTGTTACATAAAACTGTACAGTAAGGATTTTAAAATTTTATTTGCAACTTTTGTGTATACATATGTTCTTCTTGCTACGGGCGTTTCCGCAACTCGACGTCCTTATGGCGCCTGTTTTGTGTGAGGAGGGTGTATGGCCGGAGTCACTCCGTCCAGCTCCGCCAGGAACGCCCCTAGGGCCTCCACATTGGTGACTTCCTCTTGAAGGTTACCTGGTGAGCCGTGGTTATATATACATATGTTTAATAGTACATTGTTCACTGAGAGGAGAAATTGTCTTTCCAAGGAGGGTAGTTTGAGGCACGAAGTGCAGCCTAGGGCTTTTATACACCCAAGCTGGGAATAGCACTTTCTTTCGAGGGACACATAGCGCTTTATACTATAATATTAATAATAAATTTATCCATTTATTTATCCATATAGGTTATTTACATTTTAAAAAAGTTGTTACTTTGTTAGTTGCATTTCTTAATTGTTAAGTTAGTATTATTAGTTTTTTACTCAGGTGCATGGGTCCCTCTTTGGGTGAAGGCCTCCTCCAGTTTTTCCCATTCTTTCCTATCTTGAGCTGATTTTGTCCAGTGAATGTTTGCTGTTTGTATGATATCATCACTCCAACGTTTATATGGTCTTCCAATTTTCCTTTTGCCGTATGGTCCTCTCCATTCTGTAATTTTCTTGGTCCACCTTCCGTCTGATAGACGAGCAACATGGCCAGCCCATTTCCACTTCAGGTTAGAGCGGCTTTATACTATACCTGCCAGAAAATAAAAGACGAATTCTTTAATTGAAATTTATATAAAAGTTTTTACAGTTACTAAACTTTTGCATGGGAGCTTTATATTGGTTTTTTTAAGGGTAAAGGTTCTAAATGTAGTATTTATATGGTATGTCGTTTCTTTTAATTGTAGCGGTGTCAATAAATCATCGCTATCAGTAATATATGCCGTCTCGAGTAGATAGTAAAACAAGGAAAAACTCAGTCAAAATAAACCAATCACTGCGCTCTTTACTTTTTGTTCTTTTTTAAAATTAATACAGAAAGCAAACAGTATAATGTTAAAAAAAAATTGGGAAGTCCGTAAGTCATACTGACTACTTTTCGGAACAGAAATTTAAAAAATAAAAGAAGACAGCATGTTGACAATGAATTTCTATAGACTGCTAAAAACCTAATTCACGAATGGCGAGCTAAAAATTGAATTTCATACATTTTGCCAGCCTACTAAGTAGCAGAGGCGGCGTAAGGCGTGGGCGACGTGGGCCACCGCCTACGGCCTCGCGGTACAAGGGGCCTCGTGCCCCAAAAATTTTTATGCATTCCTTAAAAGCGTATTTTTTTTATTATTTTATAAAATCCGTCTTCAGGTCGCCACAGAACAAGGCCTCGCGAAATCTGTCTTGCCCACATCAAATTTAGGTCTTGCCCCGCCACTGCTAAGTAGTACCTACAACAGTAATGAGGTCCTACCTTCTTCATTTTTAAAACATGATAAAAGCACTTTCTGAGCAGTCCCCGTAGCATAAACACCACAATTCACATTTTATCACGTTTTTATCGCGTCTTCGTAGTAATTTGATAATTAAGCGTGAAAAAACGAGCTATATACCATATCGCAGTGCTCATGCACATGGGGCGCAGGAGAAGTATAAAAATCGTTTATTACTTCATACTTAATTGTAGTACAAAGCAATACTATATAATGCGATTCAAATAAAAATAGGAAAGCCAATGACCTCCATCTGTCAAATGTCGCCTGAAAAGTACGGTTTGCAAAAAAAAAACTCGGAAAACTTTTTTAGCACTCAGCTGATCCTAGAATAAAATCCAATCATTTAAAAAAAAAGAATTACAAATGTTGATTATTAATATTAGTTGATTTTTTTTTCATTTATTAAGCTTTGGCTATGAATGGTTGATAACCTAAATCGTCAACCAAATGTCACTTTATGTTGCGTTCAGAAACTCGATTTAAAACTTTCGTTTACATATAGGATGCATGTTCGTATATGACCTGCATG